AGATCAGTGTAGGGAAAATCGACATATTAACAGCATCGCAATTTCCAATCCATTAATATAATTGGTCTTTTCATTTATTTAAATCTTTAATTTTTCTCATCAATGTTTTGTAGTTTTCATTATACAGGTCTTTTTTTGGTTTTGTTTTTTTTGAGGCAGGGTCTCCCTTTGTTGTTCAGGCTATCCCTGAACTCACTATGTAGCCCAGCCTGGCTTCAAACTCATGGTGATCCTCCTGCCTCAGTGAGTGCTGGGATTACAGGCATGCGCCACCACGCCTGGCTCACTATACAATTCTTGCACATATTAAATTATGCTAAAGTATTTCATGGTTTTAGATGTTATTGTAAGTAGAATTTAAAATTTTTTTTCATTTTGCAGTTATTTATTGCTCGTATATAGAAATACAATTACAATTACTTTGTATGTATTGGCTTTGTAAAGGGCAAGGTTGCTAAATTCAGTCTTATTCCAGTAGCTTTTTTTCTTACAGATTTTAAGGCATTTTAAATTATGAGTATATATAATTTGATGTTTTCTTTTAAAATTCGTTTTGGTTTTTTGGTGGGGGGGGTTGGTACCGGGGATCAAACTTGGTACCTTGCACTTGTGAGGCAGGTGCTGGAGCCACTGAGCTATATCTTCAGCCCAGTTTTGGTTTTTTGAGGTTAATTTTGTAGTAAAGCCTGGTGCCTTGAACTTACTATGTAGTTCAGGGTGCCCTCAAACTTGAGGCAATCCTCCTGCCTCAGCCTCATTAGTGCTGGGATTACAGGCATGTGCCACCACACCTGGCTACATTTTCTTTTTTAATCTGTGTATTTTTTTTTTCTTAATTTATAGTACTGCTTTAGACCTTCACATAGTCTTTAGTAAGATGGATAGAGCCCCTTCTTCCGATCTTAGGGGGGAAGCATTCTGTCTTTTCATCATTGAGTATGCTGATAGTTGTGTTTTAGAAGATGCCCTTTATCAGGTTCAGGAAATTTCCTTCTGTTTCTAATTTATTGAAGTTTTTTTTTTTTTTGTCATGATAAAAAGGTCATTGGATTTTTCTCCAAATTACTCAAACACAACTATGTTAGTAACTACAGTGTTCTAAATGTCCATTTAGAAGTCAGAAAATAACAAAATGAATGACAAAGCAAGACCCCGATCATATATTCTTTACAAGAGAAACATTTTAAATATAGAGACATAAATAGATTGAAAATAAGAGTATTAAAGGATATACCAGATATGAATCATAAGAATGGTGTACTATGTTAATAGTGTCAGACAAGAGGACTTCAAAGCAGAGCGTATTACCAGATAGTGAGAGACATTTCAAAAAGATTACAGTCAGTCAGAAAGACATAACAATCCTAAATATGTAGTCATATAATAAAAGAAATTAAAAATACATGAAATGAAGGGGCCAGAGATTTAGCTTAGCGGTGCCGAGTCTGCCTGGCAAGCACAAGGTCCAGAGTTTGATTCCCAGTACTCCCCCCGCTCCCAAAAGAAAAGCACAGATATCAAAAATACATGAAAAAGGGGCCGGGGATTTAGCTCAGTGGTTTCGCTGCCTGCTGTGCAAGCGCAAGGACCCGAGTTCGATCCCTGGTACCAAAAAAAACCCAAAAACCAAAAACCAAAACAAAACATGAAATGGGATAGAATCAAGAGAATAAATAAATCCATAGTATAGTTGAAGATACAACTCTCTTCTCTCATTAAATGGTATAAGTGGACATAAAATAAGTGAGAGTATAAAAGATTTGAGCAGTGAGGGGTGGGGGGTGGTGGCACATGCCTATAATTCCAGCACTGGGGAGGCTGAGGCAGGAGTGATAAGAGTTTGAGGCCAGCTGGCTACACAGTGAGTTCAAGGCCAGTCTGAAGTCATAGTGAGACCCTGTCTCAAAAAACCAAACCAAACCAAACCAAAGCAAAAAGCCCTCAAGAAATAGACTTGAGGAGAGTTACCAGCACTTAACTAACCCCCAACAATAGCAGAATAAAGATTATTTTCCAGTATGTGTAAACTAAAGCTGCAGGCCAAATACCATCTACTGCCTAGTTTCTTGAAGCTTGGGAACTAGGAATGGATATTGTGTTTTTAAAGCATTGTTGAAAAAATGCAACTGAGACTGTATGTGGTCACAAAGCTGAAAATATTTACTGTTAAGTTTTTTATAGAAAATATTTTTGACTCCTTTGATAGGTTATAAAACAAATCTTTATTTTATATTTTGTAGTGTTGGGGATTAAACCTGGAGTCTCATGCATCACAGGCAGTGCTCTGCCACTGAGTTACACTTCTGGCTTCATAAAACAAATCTTTTTTTTTTGGTACTGGGGATCGAACTCAGGACCTTGAGCTTGTGAGGCAGGCACGGCACCACTGAGCTAAATCCCCAGTCCTAAAACAAATCTTTTTTTTTTTTCTGAAACAAATCTTAATAAGTTAAAAGGAATGGTATGCAAGCATGCTCCTTTTTATTTTCTTTCTTTTTTCTTTCCTTTGGTATTGGGATTAAACCCATGACTATATTCCCAGTTCTTGTTTTAAAGGTTTGTTTTTTTAAGGTAAGATCTCCCTAAATACCTAAATTGCCCAGGCTAGGCTTGAATTTAGGCTCCTTGTCTCAGCCTCCCAGAGTGCTGGGGTTACAGGAATGTACAGCTACTCCCAGCACAGGCATGCTGTTTGACCACAACAAAATTAGGAATCAATAACAAAAAGTTATCTAGAAATACTAAAATAATTGGAAATTTTATAATTATGCTTCTAATTCATCTGTAATTAAAAAGAGAAATTAGAAATACCTTGAATTCAGTGAAAATAAAAGCATACTGAAATCTGTAACATGCAGCTAAAGGAGAATTTGTAGCATTGATTGCTTATAATTTGGAAGGAAGTTCTAGAAACCAGTGATCTAAGGGCCTAGTATAAGAAGCCTGAAGAAACAGATTGTTGCAGTAGGAAAGAGATTACAAGACAAAAAGAAATCAAGAAATAGATAATTAACAAATAAGCCAAGCATGGGAGCATATACCTCTAATCCTAGCACTCTGGTAGGCTGAGGCAGGAGGATCTCAAATTCAAGCCCAGGAGGACCTGTTGCAAAATAAAAAAGGGCTGGAGATGTCATTCAGTGCAAAGGCCCTGGAGTCAGTCCTCAGTACCAAAAAGAAGAAAAGAAAAATTAACAAGTAATAGAGGAAAAAATTAAAAGCTGTTAAAAAAACCCAGGTATTACTAATATGTAGAAATGAAAGAGGGAACATTACTAGAGACCCTACTCGATTTTAAAAGAATAACACTATATGAATAGCTCTGTGCTAAATAATTTAACCAATTTAGATGATAGGGTCAAGTTCCTTCAGCAATGTAAATTACTAAAAAAACCCAAGAAGTAGAAGATACAAATTGTTTTAACCTATTGATGAGAATTCATTTGAAACGTCACCAAAGACAGCTGTAGATCCACCTGGTTTCACTGGTGAACGCTTATCAAACACAAGGAAGAAGTCTTGTCATCCTGCACTGCATATGTCTCTGTGCATGTACAGAGTTCATGTTAGCAGGGAGCACAGCTGCAGGGCTGGAGGGGCCAAGTCTTTGCTCCGTCTGCAGTAAGATACAAGGAGGAATGGGCAGTCTGTGTGAGAAAAGGTGTATGAGAAAGGCGCAGTGTCCTTGTGGTCAGGCGATTCCCGGAGACTACCGAAGTGCCCCAGTCACCTGCAGAAAGCAGCCTGGTGTACAGTTAGGCTGGAGTCAGTGACAGTTTTGAAGGTGAGATCAGGGGCTATGAAGACGTGGTATTGTCAGAGGCCGTGGGTTTGAGTTTGGACACAGAGGCCTCTGTGTCAGGACTCATAGGGCAGCACAGGCTTCACAGGCAACTGGTAATTTACAACTGTGGAAGTTTGTTGGTTTTTTTTTAAGTAAAAGTATCAGGTAAGATAAATCCCATCTGCTATTACTATTTTTTTTTTCCGGTTCTGGGGATTGAACCCAGGGCTTTTGCACAGCTCCCATTCCCATCCCTCTTTTATATTTTGAGCCAAGGTCTCACTAAGTCACTAAGTGGCTCAGGCTAGATTCAAACTTGGAATCCTCCTACTTCAACTTCTCAGAGTGCTGGGATTACTGGACTGTGCCACTCTGCCTTGTTTGCCATAATTTTATAGATAATTTCATGTAATATTGAAAAGATTGATAATTTCAAAATAAACTTTTAATTTTGTTAAAGATTCAGGTTTCATGTTTTCTTTTGGTATTAGAAAAGTGAAAACTTTGTTGCTAACCTGCCATGGCCACAGACATTGTGAGACTCACTGGGTGGACAAATGTCTGGGCAAGACCTGCGAAGGGAACTGCAGAGGCAGAGGAAGAGTGGGGTCAGTGGTGATCCTCAGGTTGGGGTGTTGACCTCACGCCCAGTTGGTGTGTGAGGGAGGTGGTGGTTTCATGTGTGACCCTGGTGTTATTCAGCAAGATGAGGACAGTGAACAGAAAGGCCTGTGGGTGGGTGGTAACAGAGAAGGGCAAGATCACACAAAAGGACCTGTCTTAAATTTGACTTCCTGAGGTTGAGCTCTGTAAGATCTCCAGGAGAACAAGTCCATTGTTCACTCAACAGGGACTGGGTACTAGGAGGTGGGCTCATGTTGTGAGTTGTTAATGTTCTCAGGATGGAGGGGCTTCCCCAGTGCTGACACTTGACACATGGTAGACCTCAGGGAGCTAGAGAGCAAGAGGCATCCACAGGCATGTTGAGTGCTGTGGGTGGGGCTGGAACAGATAGCCAGGGGACCCTGGAGGGGCAAGTCCTGGAGCTGAGGATGTCTGTGATCCAGAGTAGAGCAGTTACTGAGGAAAACCCAGTTCCCCTGTCCTGAGCCCCAGGAATTGTGTGTTCATGTCAGAATGGACCTCTTGGATTTTGGTGTAGTGTAGCTGAGGGCAGAGTGGGGAGGAGTGAGTGACCTTTTCTCTTTGCTTGTAGCTCTGTGCCCATCACAATGTTTTGGAAGTTTGACTTGAATACCACATCCCATGTTGACAAGCTGCTGGACAAGGAGCATGTGACACTGCAGGAGTTAATGGATGAAGATGACATCCTGCAGGAATGTAAGGCTCAGAACCGGAAGCTGCTGGACTTTCTGTGCAGGCCGCAGTGTATGGAGGAGCTGGTGAACCTCATCACACAGGACCCACCCTTGGACATGGAAGAGAAGGTCCGCTTCAAGTATGTACTGAAACTATGATTGGACCTAGTGCTAGGCAGTACTCAGGGAGGACATAGGCAGTGTCTGAGGATAGCCAGAGCCACGGCTCTTGATGGAGATGCAGACCTTAAACACCTATCCCATCTGAGAAATGAGGAGGCCACTGTGAGTTTTGTTATTTGTGAGGTTTAAGAGTTCAGGATCTCTGGTATATGTGTTTTCTCATTCTGCGATATATGTAAGTTTAAACTACATTGGTGTAGTTAGAATATTTTGAATGGCAGTGTATTAAAAGAAAGGAACTGATCCTGTGATAGAGAGGCACATAGAATTGCTGCAGAGTTGGCTCTAGCCTGGCAGAAGGGCCAGGCTAGAGAGACATGCAGTAGATATTTCGATCACTGAACTCCAGAAAATGCTTCACTGAGCTCTCCAGCTTAGAAGTTTGTCATTGTCATTAGTGATACTGACCATTCTCAGAGTTTTTCCTACAATTCTCCATTCAGCATTTGGCCAGGATGTTAGAAGATGACACAAAAGGAAGGGGCAGTGTGGTAAGATGGTTAGAGCTTTGCGTGAGGACAGAACATAAACTGGGATAACACTTCAGGTGGCAGGCAGACCCAGCCTCCAGGCTTTGCAGATGTGGCTCCACGAAGAGGTCACACAGCCCACTGTGTCTCCAGGGAGATCTGGGGTTGAATGACAGTAGCTGTCAGTACAGGTGCTTATGAGAAAGTGTAAAATACATGCATGTGGTAGTAAAGTTTTAGAACAGGGTCAGAAAAGTAAAAAGTCCTGCTTTTGTGTGGCCTGTGAGCTAAGAAGAGTTTTATATTTTTCTTTTTTTTTGGTACTGAGGATTGAATTCAGGACCTTGCTCTTGCAAGGCAGGTGGAAGAACCACTGAGCTAAATCCCCGGCTATTTTTCATCTTTTTTTTTTTCTTTTAGTACCATGGATCAAACTCAGGACCTTGCGCTTGCCAGGCAGGTGTAGAGCTGCTGAGCTATATCCCGGAGTTTTATATTTTTAAGTGGTTGAAAAAATCAAAGGAAGAATACTTTGTCACACATATTCATGACATGAAAACCATCTTTCGTTGTCCACCAGTAGGGTCTTGATGGACACCCTAAACCATACAATGCAGAGTTCAGTTGCAACAGAGACTCAAAAATATTTGCTGTCAGGCCATTCACAGAAAATCTTTGCTGACCTTTGTCTCATGAGGAAAACAGCAAGACTGGATAACAGAGCAGCCTGTGGCAAGCTGTCAGTATGCATCTGTGGTAGTCAGCTAGGTCCCTTCTGACAGTGAGAGCCATTTAGTTGTTTACCGAGAGCAGGAGCTTGCTGGTGAGGGAGTGAGGGGTTTGGGGACAGGGTGACCCTGCTGGAGGCTGTTGTGGTCATACCGCTATTCACAGCGCCCATTCCTCTCCCAAGTGTCTCCCAATTTGGTGAAAAACGCGAGCAAAATGGCAGGCATGGAAGGAGAACAGCTAGAGTTCTTATGATCAGGACAAGAGTCCCAGAGTGGCACTGGTAAGCTAGGAGAGCTGCAGAGTAAAGAGTTTGAGAGATGTTAGTAATAGATGAATGCAAAGCCAAGCAAACAGCGCAAGGAGAACACACATAGCTCTGTGGGAAACCTTATATAAGTAAGCAGGTAGAACAGAGTAGACAGATCAGCTCAGCTGTAGACAGATTTTACATATTCATACTAAGGTCCATACCAGGTGTCTTTATCTTTTCATTTATTATGCTGGACATGCCATGGACCCTAGGCTGCAAATTCATGAACCTTAGTGCAGGGAAATTTCTTATCTTTTTTAAAAATTAATTTTATTGGTATATTTTAGGTATCAATATAATGACATTCATCAATGGAAATTTGCACCTTTACATAGTCTGTCTTGGTTCTGGGAAATTTCTTATATTATTTCCGTGATAATTTTTTCTCCTCCAGTTTTTCCTCTGTTCTCTATTTCTGGGGAGTCTTCTTGGATGTTAGATCACCCGAATACTTTTTCTTATTTTTGCCTTAAATGTTTTATTTTGCCCTAAATCTTTGCCTTTTTGGTCTACATCTGAGAGGATAAAGTTCCCATCTTTTTTTGACTTTTCAAATTTCTATCATCGGATTTTTAATTTCTAAGAATTCTTTCTTATTCCCAGATTTTTTTTTTTGTACTGGGCATCAAACTGAGGAGCTTGCACTTGCGAGGCGGGTGCTGGAACCACTGAGCTAAATCCCTGGCCCTATTTTTTTCATTTTTGAAAGAAAGTATCATTGTGTTGCTTAGGCTGGTCTTCATCTCCTGGAATCCAGTGATCCTTCTACCTCAGTCTCTTGAGTGCTAGGGCTTCAGGCACACATCACCTTGCCTGATTTTATTTTATTTTATTTTTTTGGTACCGGGGATTGAACTTGGGTCCTTGCCCTTGTGCAGCAGGCGGCGAAACCACTGAGCTAAATCCCCGGCCCCACCTTGCCTGATTCTATGATTGTGTGTGTACGTGTGCATGTGTGTGTGTGTTGCTGAGGAGCACTGAGCTACATCTCCAGCCCTTTTTATTTATTTAGTTAGTTTTTTTTTTTTCTGGCACCAGGGATTGAACTCAGGACCTTGTACCTGTGAGGCAGGCACAGCACCACTGAGCTAAGTCCCCAGCCCTTTATTTTTTATTTTGAGGTAGGTCTCACTGAATTGCCCAAGCTGGCCTTAAACTTGTGATCCTCCTGCCTCAGCTTCTGTAGTATTATAGGTGTGTGCCACCACATCCAACCCAGATATTTGAATCAAAGCTCCCAGTTCTTATTCTGGATACTGCCTCAGTGTATCATATTGCCTCTGAGACTAGTATGCTTTTTTTTTTTCCCTTTTTTTGGTGCCGGGGATCGAACTCAGGTCCTTGCACTTGTGAAGCAGGTGGTGGAACCACCGAGCTAAATCCCGGTCACTAGTATGCTTTTTAAAGTTCTCTTCTGTTACCTGAACTCTCCTTTGTGTGCTTTGTGTTTGGTTGGTCAGTGCTGCATTGTTTCAGGAGTGAGGCCCTAAATAGTAGGAGGTCTGAGTAGGGCCTGCTCAGGCTTCACCATGAGTGAATGGTGGCTGGCTATTTAGTTAGATGACAATTGGTTGACTTTTCTCTTTGTCCCATTGTTTCCTTCAGGAGAGGAGCAGAGGCCCATTAACATCCTGGGAGCTGACTCAGGATGAGTGCCTGGAGCATCACATATTGTTCTGGAGAGCATCTTAACTACCCCTGGGTTGTGCTTGGTGTCTCTGAGTCGTGAGCTGGGTTGGTTCACTTCTCCCTGGAATAAACCTTTTAGGCCTGGGCGGGCGGGGCGGGGCGGGGCGGTGGTGTCTGTGTGTCCTGCTCTATGGCAGTTTTCAGCCCACGCTAATCTTTACCACCTATTATCTCAATGACCAGGCCTCACTTCTAGTTGGTGCTGCCATTTCTAGACACCGGAGATTCTGCTTTTCTTGGGCTTGGTCAGCCAGGTCTTCTAGGCCTGGTCCAGTATCATTTCTACTTCTCTTTTCTTGTCTTTTTCTTGGTACTGGGGATCGAACTCGGGACCTTGCGCTTGCGAGGGAGGCAGCAGAACCACTGAGCTAAATCACTGGCCCATCTTTTCTCTCTTTTTAATTCTTTGCATTATTTGGAAGAAGCATGACAGGGAATATCAATAAGCCTGTGTGCTCTTATCTGCCTTGTGCAACTGGAACTCCTGTCCCTTTTTATCTTAAAATTTAAATTTATTAAGACATTCAGTTATGTCTGTCAGTCTACATCCACATCTGCTACTAAAAATAAAAGTCACATCCCACATTAGGAATACTGAGTCTCAAAAATACTTTTTGAGCCAAACATATTGTATAAATAAATGACTAGTTTCTTTTCATACCAAAATTCCAATAAAAAATAACATTCTCCCTCCCCAGTTTTACCTGTAGCCATGATGAATGTAAAAATTTAGCTATGACATATCCTTGTCAAAGAAAAGGAACAGTCTATTAACAGCAATAAAAGTGGCATTTGCAGAGTGTGATCATACAGTTATATACTCATTCCCAAAGTGCAGATATTGCCATAATTTAACACTGTTTTGATTCATTCGCAAGAATTAAAGATTACATAAGATTGAAAAGTACACACAAAGGCCTGTATGAGTGTCTAAAACCCCTCCCAGTTTGACCTCCTTCACTAAAGGAAACTCCAAAGCGTTCATTAGAGTTTTAGATTACTTCACATAGCCAACAAAGTATACAATATATTAACCAAAGTTCCATATATATCAAAATAATGAAGAGTCCATCATAAAGTTTAAGAGTCTCAGGTAACGTGAATGCCACAAGGCCACAAGGCCTAGCACCCACCCACTCCTTTCCCTAAAGCACATCTGAAGTACGAGCATGCTTCCACCTTTCAATATAGTCAGCGCCTCTACGTCTTTGATTTTGCTGCAGTGCTGTATAAAACTCAATAATCAACTGACTGAGTTACAATTAATTGAAGGAAAAGAGGGTGGAGAAAAGGGCCGGTCACTACTCATACTGTATAACAAGAATGATCTGGCCCCATAGGAAAGGAAATGCCAGTCCACTTCTGCCTGCTTCTTCCCCTTATATAAATTTTCTTTTCTTTCTTTCTTTTTTTTTTTTTTTTTTGGTACTGGAGATTGAACTTGGGACCTTGTGCCCTCAAGGCAGGTGGCAGAACCACTGAGCTAAATCCCTGGTCCTCCTCTTATATAAATTTTAAAACCCACTGAATCAGTACCTGTTTGACAAGTAGATATAAAATACAGATAAAGAGAAAAAGGAGAAAATCTTAGTCTTTCCACCTAGATTTAACCTTTGGGTGTCCGCTCCTAGCTCTGTCTGCTCCATAGTAGATAAGGTCAAGTTATGCCCTGGCTCTGGAAAGCGCTGAGGAGAGTTTGTACTTTCCCTGTTTCCTCACACCATGGGATTTGAGCTCTGTCCACTGCCCTAGTGCATTCTGTTTAGTTGTTTAGAGTGCCCTGCTGTGGCTTTCAGTGCTGTCCACCTGGTCCCCCGTCCTGTTCTTTCTGGCTCCCTTCAGTGGCCATGTGTTACCGCTGTGCTGAACTCTTTTTGTCCAGTCTTACGGCAGTCCCATGAGGTGGGCACTGCTATCCTATTTTACAGACAGGGACCTCAAAAGCTGGCGAGTTTGTCAGTGAGGGGTAAGCCCAGACCTGACCCAGCCCTCAGGCCCACTTTCTCTCCGTACCCAGCCTCTAATGCCCTGAGCACCGCCCATACCTCTTTTTGGTGCCTAGGCCTGGCTGCTGGGTCTCTTTGTAACTGGTAAGTCCCTCACAGCTCTGAGGCTGCTTCCTCATGGGAAGCAGCTGAGGAAGATCACCTGCTTCCACAGCCAGCTGAAATCCCTCTTCCACGTGCAAATGGCCACCATGTTCGGCTAGCTATTTTCTCTGAGTCTCTCAAAACCAAGAGCCCTTGGATCTGGCAGACTCACTTGACCACCTTGGCTTGGCACTGGGCACATGTTGGGAAGAGATAGCAACTGACCTCAACTGAGTACTTCCTGTGTGTCAAGTGCCACTCTGCTTTATACATATTGGCCCCTGTTATCACAGAAGCCTTATGGAGCAGGGAGGTGTTGTCACTCTTGTGTTCAAAGAATCAAGGGATTGGCCTGGTGTAGAGACAGTCCTGTTCCAAGGTGGTCAGTCCGTTGGGATATTACCACTGGGTTCCAGACTGCTGAGCCCTGTGTATACTTCCTGATGTTCCCAGGTGTATCTACATGAGAGATACAGCTCTAGGTCTTGTTACTAGTGCTACTGTCAAGGGCCTTGGTCTGGACACTGTGGACAGGTGTGCCCGCACTTAGCATTGGGCAGATGTGCCCCTTAGGTATTAGGCAAGTGTGTCCCCCTGGGTGTTGAACAAGCATGCTGGTGCTGGGTGTTGGACAGGTGTGCCAGGCCTGGGCATTGGTCAGGTGTACCTGTGCTGGGCATTGGGGAGGCGTGCCCACCCTGAGGTGACAACTGTCCTTCACTCTGTGTCATCAGATACTTAAGAGGGAACACAGTGATGTCATTATAGGATTACACATACTATATATATTTTTCACAGTTACTGACATTTCATTTTTTGGTACGGGGAACTGGGGATTGAACTCAGGACCTCACACTTGTCAGGGAGGCACTGTGCCACTGAGCTAAATCCCCAGTCCTTTTTACTCTTTTTTTTGGGTACCAGGGGATCGAACTCAGGACCTTGTGGTTGCAAGGCAGGCAGCAGCACCACTGAGCTAAATCCCCCACCCACTATTGACATTTCTTAAAAATAAATTACTTGCACAGTGGCTTACATTGACACTGTATCATAAACTGCAGATACGGTTTTTATCCCGACTAGGATAGTTTGGGTGTGTGCTTGCTGACATGACAGGACAAGGATGTGGTAGGGAGAGGAAAGGTAGGTTTCCTATGCAGAAAGAAGGATGCAAGTGACTGGGACTTGGCCTCACTGAAACAGTGTAGTTAGGAGGTAAGAGGCCTAGCAGTTGAAGACCCAAGAGAGGAGATAAGAAAGGCTATTTAGAGAATGGAAGTAATCAGAATATAGGGCACAAGAAGCGTGTAAATGGTATTAAAACTTAAAGTTTCTAGTAGTCAAAAATACCAGTTGGTGCCTGGGATTTAGCTCAGTGGTGCTGCCACCTCCCTCAAGTGCAAGGTCCTGAGTTAGATCCCTGGTACAAACAAAACAAAAGAAACAAAATACCAGTTGGTCATAGAGTAATATTCTGTTCTGAGGTCTGTTCAATGCTTTGTTCTTATCACATGGGTCCATTTTCGTAGAAGCAGATTATTTAAGCAGCTTCCTGAGAGTTGGAAAAGTCTAATTTCACCTCCAGTGCTTGGACCCTTTCAGATACCCAAACACAGCCTGTGAGCTTCTGACTTGTGATGTGCCACAGATCAGCGACAGACTAGGTGGGGATGAGAGTCTGCTGAACCTTCTGTATGACTTCCTGGACCAAGAGCCACCACTCAACCCTCTGCTTGCTAGTTTTTTCAGCAAGACCATTGGCAGTCTCATTGCAAGAAAAACTGAACAGGTAATGATATGTGAAGTCCACTTGTTTTGAATAACCATGGCTGCCACTGTGGAACTGGCACAGACTGTGAGGGTAGAGTTTTGACTGCTCAGTGGGGACACAAGTGGAGCAGTGGGGGTGGCTGACATTGTGACTTGAGATTGAATAAGAAAGTGTCCTCCCAGAGATGTTTGTGATGGTCAGCTCAGGAGTAAGCAGCACTTCCTCCCCGCTCTGGGGACAGCTTCTCCTGTAACTGGGCACAGACACAAGGTCCTGGGCCATGCTTTCTTCACAGCAGAACCTTAGATGTCCACGTTGTCTACATGGGAAACGTGTCTGTGTGTCCAGAGCACTTATTGCTTCCAATCAAACAAAGATAATATATGCATTAGATTTTTCTTTTACTTTTTGGGGGAGAAGGACAGTTGAGCCCAAGGGCATTCTACCACTGAGCATACCTTTACCTTTTTATTTATTTATTTATTTTTGGTACCAGGGATTGAACTCAGGACCTTGCACTTGCAAGGTGGGCAGTGGCACCACTGAGCTAAATCCCTGGCCCCTCCCTTTTTATTTTTTAATTTAAAAATTTTAGAAAAAAATAAAAATAATAAAAATAATTTTTTGAAAGAAGGTCTCACTGTGCAGTTCAGGCTGGGCTAGAACTCAGCATGTATCCTAGGCTGGCCCTGAGCTTGTGGCGATCATCATACCTCAGCCTCCTGAGTACTGAGACGTGTACCACCCCATGCCCAGTGTCCCTTTTTATTTTTTTTTATTT